CCCTGGAAACCACCCAGAACACCCTAGCAACTGTATAGCAACACCCTGAAAAAAAAAAGACAGAGCTTGCATAACAACTCCCTGGCAACCAAAAACAATCATCTAGCAACCCCATAGCAAGTCCCTGGCAACTAACAACAATAATCTAGCTACCACTTTGCAACTCCCTGGAAACCAACCAGAACACCCCAAAAACTGTGTAGGAACTCCCTGCCAACCAACAACAATACTCTGGCAACCACAAAGCAACTCCCTTGAAACCAACCAAGGGTGAGATTCCAAAAAGCAACTATGGTCGCAAGTTCCGTTGTTACCAATAGAGTTCAATGGAACTACAGTAGTTAGCTAACAATGCTTTTGGGAAACTCACCCCAGAACACTCTAGCAACCACAGCAACTCCCGGGAAACCAATCAGAACACCCTAGCAACTGCATAGCAACTCACAGGAAACCAAACAGAACATCCTAGCAACAACATAGCAACTCTCTAGAAACCAAACAGAACACTCTAGCAACTGCATAGAAACACTCTGGAAACCACCCAGAGCACCATAGCAACTGCATCTGGCAACCAACAACAATAATCTAGCAACCCCATAGCAACTCCCTAGAAACCAAACAGAACACCATAGCAACTGCATAGAAACTCCCTGGAAACTACCCAGAACTCCCTAGAAACTGCTTGACAACTCTCTAGAAACTACTGAGAATACCCTAACAACCGCATACAAACTAACTGCAAAACCACTTAGAACACCCTAGCAACTGCATTGCAACTCCCTGGCAACCAACAACAATACCCTAGCAACCACATAGTAACTAACTAACCTGGTAACTAACAACAATAGTTTAGCAACCATATAGCAACTCCCTAGTAAATCAACCAGAACACCAAAGAAACTGCATAGCAACTCCCCTGAAACCACTGAGAATAGCCTAGCAACCGCAAACAAACTAAGCAACCACATAGCAACTTAATGGAAACCATCCAGAACACCCTACAGTAGCAACCGCACAACAACTCCCTGGCGACCAACAACAACACTCTAGCAACAGGGAGGCAAGTTTTGCACAAGTTTTGACTCATAATTTCTTCATAAAACGTAAAACTGTAGTGTAGAGATGTGGCCACTTATCAAGGCTGTTGTGATCTATTGTTTCTTCAGCGCTGAAAGCTATCAAAGCTCTTATTGTCTCTTTTTTAATCCTTTGTCTTTTCCCATTAACAGTCGGTTGAAAAGCTGAGACAAACATGAATGAAGATTTACAACATCTCTCTTCTCCCTTCCTTCCCCCACATCATGAATTAAAGAACTGCATAGTGTTCCATGATGTGACTGGAGGATGGGTGATAGTAAATTAAACAATGTTCCAGGCAATGTTCCTGAGAGAGAGAGAGAGAGAGAAAGAGAGAGTCTGAGTCTTCTTTGAGCCCCAGCAATGAAACCAAATAAATAAACTGATAAATAATAAAGAGCTGTTGAGGGCCTCTCTCCTTGGCCATGACATGACCTTCCTCAGATTTTCTCCCTGTATTCACCAACCACCAAAGACACGCTAGATGTTTTTCAGTTTGTACGTGCAAAACATTATATTTTACATTATATTTGCAGTATGTATATATTTTCTGCTACTGCTGAGTAATGTGTTGTTTAATGATGAAGGAATTTGGCTGCGTAGATTACTTACAAATTGTAGTCTATTACTGATTGTAGTTTTTGATTGTAGAAATTGTAGTCAGTAATGCAATCTAGAATACTCATTTCAGGTAATGTGTTCTGACTAATTTTGGATTACTTTTGACGTAACTTTAGTTGGGATTATTTCATCAGAGAAGATGCAAAGGTGTTGTTAAATTATTGAAATAACTTTAAATCTCAGGGGGACTTGTAATCCATAAAAAGTAACAGTAATCTGATTATTAAAATGTAATATAATCCAATTACAAGTACATTTTTAATCTGATTATGTAATCCAAATTACATGTAATCAATTACCCAGCACTGTAACTATATAACTTATTTTAACTGACCTTATCTCACCATGTCTGACAGGACTGAAACATAAATAAATAAATACATATATAACACCCCTAAAGACGACCCTATTTCTGTGATTTGCTATTATTTTTCCTGAAAAGAAACAATGGGATGTCCAAAACAGAGTTTTGTCAGTGAATTAACAACTAGTTGCTCATTTCACTGAAGACCACCTCAATTTGTTTAGAGTAAATGTGGTTGTAAAACTGTTTTTAGAGAAAACATAATTTTGCACTTTGAAGAAAAATGTCAGCCATATTTCACTCTTGTGTGTGTGTGGCCAGGCTGTTCATTTAGTGACCTTTATCACACCACTTTCATACAAAATGTCCTTCCAAAAATGAGTTAGTTTTATTGAATTTTACCAAGGTTATGTTTCATTCATGCCATGCTCCCACGTGCTTAATGGACATTACTATATATCTTAAGCCTAAAGGAGACATAAGTGAGGGAGTTGAACAATCCTTACCCTGTGATTTATATGGATATGGCAGTGAAATGGCAGTCTGGGATAACATGCCCGATTATAAATGACAGAACGACAGGGACTACCATCTGCCATCCTTTCACCCATTAGCCTGAAAAATGAAACGGGACTGAGGATTTTTAGTCCAGCACATACTTGTATTTTTTTTCTAACAGAATAGATTAGCGGATGGGGTGACAAAATGCGTGAGATCTGTACTTTAATTGCATCTTGCACAGTTGGGTGGCCAGGACACATTCTCTGTCCACTCGGGTTTCTTTTAAATCATCTGAGTGTAAGCGAACAAGCCTTTAAGACTCGGTGCTGCCAGGACTGTAACAGCAGAGGCTAGTAGCGCTGTAAGCATTATAGCGATGAAATGTTTCATGCTGTTTTAGCTTGGACTCCAGCCCTGCACTAAAAGAGCATTGATCAAAGTGTGCTAGCATGGTGGCCAAAACAACTGAGAGGCACTTTAGTTGTTTCTGTGATATTTAAAGTAACAGTTCACTCCAAAATATGTCAATCATTTGCTCATCTTGCTCTCCTATTTTAAACAAGGCACGACTGCATTATCTTGGTGTGATTCCAATGTTGCAAGCGGTACTGTATTCAGTAAGCCAAGCTAAACAGCACTCCCCAGACGGGACTTAACAATTGTAATTTTTCATAATGCTTACATAACAGATGTAAGCGCATGAGCTAGTAGGAATAGAGGCAGAGCAGTGCATGTGAGGTGAGATGATTTCGCTGACTTTGTTTTAGTTCTTCTCAGTGTTCTGCTGCCCTGATGAGTGAGTTAATGTAGTAGTTACAGCAGGACTGGAATCATCTCCAGTGCAACACGTGCCTTTATAATGGATGTGTGGATTCAGAATATGGAATTAGCAATATATTTACCATTCAACTGGTAAAGTGGAAATTTTCAGCTCATGCTGTGGAATTCCAAAAGAACGGTACATGATTTTGGACTACTCCTATCTCGACAAGATGCAATCGTGTGAACATTGCGGCATATAGAGAGATAAAAACAGTTCATGAAAACATTCACTTTTAAGCAAGTTCAGTGCAAAAGTGTGTCATAATAGCTACGTTACATGATAAAACCAAAAAGTAAAAGTTTACGAAGACAGATGTGTGAAACAAACACAACCTGAAAACAACATTTTTCAATAGGTGATTTTTCAACACCTATTTTGGTTAAATCTATCATTCATCTGTCATAAATCTGACATTGCAAAAAGTGCATAGAAATATCTCACATCACACAATAACCCTACATGCAACATTTCATTTTAAAGGTTAAGTTTGTGTTCCACTCAAAATGCATTGTGAGCGATCCAGGTCACATGTTTCCAAAGAACAAGTTCTTTGTTGAGGTCTAACTTCATAAGTCATAATAGATGGATATTTTTTGGTCCGTTTCCACTGATTAAAGGGCCGTTAATGATGGCGAAATGGCCGAGGATAACATTTGAAGAGATGCTCTTTGAAAGCTGACCCTGAGACATGCTCTCTGCTTTCATCTCTCCCTCCCATCGTACCCTATTTCTTTTACTCTTCTCTCGAGCTGTGCCTCGGTAAAGTAATGACAGTACTCCCAACAATGCAACCAGGGCTTTTTAAGTGGACCCGACTCTCTGTGATCCATATACATTGTCTTTCTGTCAAGTGAGAGAGGAGAATAGCTGGTGAATCGTGACAATTTTAAAGACTCCGCTGCCAGAGGCCGCTTTAAGGGGAAACGGCGCTGCATTTTTGACGGCTCTCAAGCAGCTGAATGTATCTGAGATGAATTGTGTGATTTGCATGAATATTTCTGCTTTATTGCCAGAGAGCTGTATGAGAGGTAATTGCATTATGAGTCCACGGAAAAATGATTGTGAGTGATAGCGTTCTGTAACCTCTATACATGCATGCATATTGAGGTAGCGGTGAATAGCGGCAATCAAAATAGAGCCTCGCTCCAAGAGACGATTTAAAAGCATATTGAAGCATTACATAAATTTTTATGCATCATAGACAAGTGAGGCAGGAATGTTTCGAGTCCATCGTTTGGCTGGAATCCAGTGGTCATATCAGTGCTCATTAAATCTCTTTAAAAGGGTTTAAATCAAAAGAAATGCACATTTTTCTGATTTATTTATTTTTTTTAACTTGAAGGCCTCCCGTATGAATGATGACTTGGTTGTGCAATTACACAGTAACATTCGAAGAGAAAAGTTCATCCGACGCATCCCGTGCATCACAATGAGATCTCGTTCACCTAAAGAGACCTGAGAGAAACACTCCCGGTTTGGCCATTCAATGGATCCAAGTACCTCCACTTTCCACTCAATTGATGGAGAACTTAAACTGACTTTCCATCCTACAGACTATAATGACTATGAAAGAAGCTCAAAGCGTTCCACGCTGTGGTTTCAACGTCAGGAATTGAATCTGCCTCGATCTGACAACGCTTCACTGGGAAAATGAGCCACTTTTGGGTTTACCAGAAAGGTGGTGCACTTGCTAGTTATCTGACGGATCGATACAGCCAATCCCACTTGGAGGAAGACTGACTTGTATTGAGAGAACTCTGTAGGAACGACTGCCTCCGAATATAATATATGCCGTCAATAAGATGCAAGCAGATCGAGTTCGGAGGAGCAGTGGAGAAACCATGTTAAATAATGAGCAGGAACCATGTCTTCCTGACCCATATACTGTTTACCTCATTCTGTCTGCCTAGTTTATTCTCTATCCGTGATTCCCATCCTTGTTGATAAAGGGCTGAGTTGCCTAATCCACTTTTGGAGGCCGAGCCACATTATGCTGTCCTGTTTATCAAATCCAAACTCGATTTTTGCAAAGGTTAATGGCCAGGCTTGCAGGAAAAAATAGTGCAAAGGCAAATGTTTTAAGTGGAGCCCTTTGCAATTCCAAACAAGGGATAACATTTGCAGTCTGTATTTCGGATGCATCGGAATGACCTTTGTAAGAATCTGGCCTGATTAAACAGGTGAAGATAGTCAGGCTGCTTTGAGGGGAGCCAACTTTTCCACAGTCATTACCGTAAAAAAAAAAAACTTTTCCTGAAGGCTTAGAACGAATGTAGTTACTGCAGCAAGCGGCAAAACAAAGGGACACGCTAACAGAGAGTGGTTTGTCCCATAACCTATTCTCTAGAAGGTCACACAGCAGAGGAATAGGAAAATGTAGTATTTTTTTATTGAGGTGAACCCGAGTCCTCTACTGCTTTGATGATGTTGTTAGGTAAGTGAAGTTTTCCTGTTTTTAAGTAGCAAACATTCTTTGGGCCTATGAGGTATTGCTCATGGTTAACAAAGGAGATTGTCAACATTCCCTGGAAAACGCTGTCATAGTTCAACCATCACGGGAATGGTTGAACTATGACAGTGTTTTCGAGGGAATGTTGACATTCTCCATTGTTAAGCATGAGCGATACCTCAGAGGCCCAAAGAGTGTGTTATTCAAGCCGGGCTACATGTTAATGTGTTTGTAGACACATATTTCTGGATGACATAAGGGTTTACGCCATGAGAACATCAAGGTTTCAAGATATCCAGGTGATGTAATGTCCTTGGTTTACTTTGCTAAGCATTTCCCAGGTACACTACACCCTCATTGTATTAGTCGTATTATACTTGTAATTGATGTGTGTAATGTTTTTGGATATTAAAATATGGTCTTCAAACAGAGTATAATATGCAGAGATAACTAAAAGTAAGCTATTTGATTGGTTTCAAAAACTTTTAAACACTGTGGTTTGCTATCAAAACATTGTTCTGTTTGTTTTACCATCCCGCTTGGCTCAGCATAGCAACACTGGCTCAGCCAATGGTGTGAGTTTGGGGCGGGGTCATCTGTTTTTTTCAACCAATGGTAGATGGTGGAGTGTTTAAAAACAGATATTATTTTTTACAATTCTGATTGGTGACAGAAATTACATACTTCATATTTTTATGCATTATCATTTTTATTTGACACTGAGAGTTTTAAAAGGACAGAAAGGGAATGGGAAATGACATAATCACAAAAACGAGCCGGACTCAAACTCTTAGAGTTTACATGAGCACCACAGCTCAATGTGTCAAAGTAGGCGTTGCGAACCACTACACCACAGCTCCAACTAGTTTTACGCATTTTTCAAAATAGAAACTAACATGACACCAGTTTCAACCAAAACCGGACATTTTTTAATGTGTTTTATTCGTTCATTTACACAACAATATTGTTTTGGGGGCCTGAAAACGCACACTTTTAAAAGTGCATTAAAAAAAAAAAACAATACTGTTATTGTCTCTGTGTAAATTAGAGAAATGCTCATTTGTAAATGCAGTGATGCCATGAGCATGCCTAATAAGTGTTTACTCTAGTGGAATATGTGTGTGCGCAGGCGCATAGTGTTTCTTTACATAGTGACATCGCCAACTACTGGCACGGCATGAACCATACGCCATTTTTAGTTGTTTTCGCTCATTCAGGGGATTTTTTTGACAATGTTGTTGTCTGTACACTAACACTTTTCAAAAATGTGAAAGGAAAACTTTTCCATTTTTAGTACATTGTTGTTCTGTAACTGTACCCTAAATATCTTCACATATCACCTTAGCATTCTTGGTACTTTCTGAGTTGTATATATTGTAGATGCAAATTACCCGTACAGCATTTTTAACAGAGTAGTCAACAAAGTTGAGTCAAAGTTTCTTATACCTGTTTACTGTAATAAGTGAACCATATGAGCTTTAAAAAAAACGAAAGTGCATTAAAAAAAAAAAACAATACTGTTATTGTCTCTGTGTAAATTAGAGAAATGCTCATTTGTAAATGCAGTGATGCCATGAGCATGCCTATTAAGTGTTTACTCTAGTGGAATATGTGTGTGCGCAGGCGCATAGTGTTTCTTTACATAGTGACATCGCCAACTACTGGCACGGCATGAACCATACGCCATTTTTAGTTGTTTTCGCTCATTCAGGGGATTTTTTTGACAATGTTGTTGTCTGTACACTAACACTTTTCAAAAATGTGAAAGGAAAACTTTTCCATTTTTAGTACATTGTTGTTCTGTAACTGTACCCTAAATATCTTCACATATCACCTTAGCATTCTTGGTACTTTCTGAGTTGTATATATTGTAGATGCAAATTACCCGTACAGCATTTTTAACAGAGTAGTCAACAAAGTTGAGTCAAAGTTTCTTATACCTGTTTACTGTAATAAGTGAACCATATGAGCTTTAAAAAAAACACTTTCACCTGACATAACGAGAAATTAACAGCTCGGGTGGATATGGTGCTTCCTGGTCGAAAATGTTAAGCTGAATTTAATACAGGCAGGTTGACCCATTCTCAGGTCCCGCTGTATTAAAAAGAGATTCTGAAGCCGCTGGCAGGCTTTGTTCTTACACATAATTTATTCAGTGAGAGTGCCGCTATTTTTCTGCTTCATGTTGCCAGCGATGTCCCCCTGCCTGCTTCATTTGTATTGAATAATGTCATGCTGTCCCAGCCACTGAAATATCGGCCACAAAAACTCTTACGAGACTCATTTAATTTGCAAGCCGGTGTTTGCGCACACTCCATTATCAATGGGCCGCGCTGCACCGCAGTTTTGTGGTCATCTCATGTCCTTTAATCATGGAAAGGTACATCTCCTACAAAAACCCAGTGCTTTGATTGACTGGAGAGGAAAAGACAACTATCACTTGAATTTGAAGAGTAATTTTTCTCTGACAGGCATGGTAAACCAAGTACGAAATTGAGGAAAAACATGAAACTGTGAGGTGCAAAAGACCACACTGAAAACCTAGGATTTATTTATTATTATTACTTGTCTTTTTTTATTTAAACTTGAACATGTTTACATTTTCTAATAGATATTAAAAAAATAGATCAAATATCCAATAATAAAACCAGTTTATTTATTTGTTGTACTGTATTTATTTATTCAAAGATATATAAAAAAATTCAATGCTTGTAATTCTTGATGTACTTCTTGAGCTTCTATGATGAACATGGTTTTAATTTTCTGATTATTTATTTATGAATTTATTTATTTGGGGGGTATTATTTGACAGAAAACCGTTGACTGACAAATCAAATTCATGTAAAGCAAAACAAAACAAATAGGAAAGGTTACCATATAGAGGACCTCTGCAGACCAATGTTTATGATCAATGTTCATAAACAATCAATGTTTGTAATATTTAGATTTTTTTAATGACGACATTGTAGGCTGTACAGTGTCATGTGGTGTGACTCCTATATCCTTAATTTGAATTATTTATTTGTTATATAATTAATCATGACATTTGTAAAAATAGAAAAAAATATATAAAATAATTACAATTAAAATATTTATTTAAAATAGTGATTAAGTGTACATTCACACGATGTGTATACACTCACAAAATAATAATAATAATAATAATAATAATAATAATAATAATAATAATAATAATACTTGTTATGGTTAACCACATGCTGAAAATGGCATTATGTTTTTCAAATGCACTTGCACCGCAGCAGAGATCGGGTGGTGTGGTTGTTACGCTCTGCACCGTAGAATCTGTTTAGGCCCTGTCCAGTTGACATGCATGACGTGCAAAGCTAAGCAGTTCATAAATGTCTTTCATCAACTTAACATCTGTTTCACTTTTCTTTCTTTTGTCAGTCGTCCAATGCATTACCAGCTCGATCAGTGCCTGTATAAACATATGAGAGTTTGGGGAACTAACCATGGCAGATGTATTTATAGTAATGTTCTTGGCCGTATATGTTCAGGAGCCCATCCGCGTGAATATGTTGTAACACACTACATACAATCACTCTCCTGGCAGCCCTAAAAATGATTGATAATGGAAGGCGGCCTCCTATTTTATAACCCCTTGTGTTGGCGTTCCAGCCTTGGCCGCCCGCCAAGAGGTTCCCGTGGATCTGTGCTTGTCCTTGCTGGTGTACTTTACTACCAGGAGAACAAACAAAGGTGACAAATTACACCAGCTCTTAAACTGCTATTATCCCGTGCTTACGAGTCTAGTAAAGCATCCATCTCTGATGACCACCTCATACATCTACGCCCAATTCATGGGACTTTTTTGACATTAATAAATAGGATTTTATATAAAAACATCAGTGCGGTAAATGTTAAGTAAATGTAATCACCAGCTTACGGATTGATTTATATTCCTGCAGGCCACCTGGTAAAGTTTAAACTTTACGGATGTTACTGTATATAAGGGGAGGAATTTATGATCTGCCCTGAACTTCACCTGTGTTTAGGAACATTGCTTATGCACGTGTTTTACATATGAAGCTCATGCATGACAGCATATAATAAACCGCTTTAAAGCAATAGGCATAATATGTGCACCAATTAAGTTGTGGTTATTTTGCAAGAACACTATCCTCTCAAGAAGCAATTCACGATTTTATTTTAACTGCTGTGCAGTTTCTACAGACCAAGTATATGTTTTGAATTTGTCTGTAGATTACATACATTACAAATTACATAATGAAAAAATATAGTCAGTAAAATAATTGGTTGGATTACACATTTTATATAATGTATTCTGAATAGTTTTTGATTACTTTTATTATTATTATTATTATTATACAATTATTATTGCAAAACTAATTGTGTGGTCTATATATTTATGTGTAATTAGTCACCTGACTAGGCTGGTGTATTCAGTTCCATAAAACTGGAAGGCTTCTAAATGTTTATAAGAGCTATGATTTTTTAGAACGGAACATTTAAGAGAGGAACAAAAGAAGAATTAGAGTGAATCAATACATGATGGTTAATTTACTGCTAATGTTTAAATAATATGCAATCATGGAATCTATAAAAAAGTACATCTGCTATAATCTGATTATAAGCACTTTATAATGTAATATAATCTATAGTACTTTTAAAAAAAAATTTTTATCTGATTACGTAATCTAGATCACATGTAATCAGTTACTACCCAGCACTGCTTGTAATAATTACACATTTACTCTGGGCTTTCATTCACATCCAAACCGAGAAATGCAGTGTACATAAACATGACTGCTTCTTTATCCAGTTGGAAAGCAAAACTGGATACAAATTAGTTCATGATGACTACCGCTACAAATGTAACTCTTTGACACTTTCGTAATTACAAAACGTTGAGTTTAGCTGGTGACTAGCTTAAAAAGTATGCTTTTCTGCTTCCAATTTATCGGAAGAGACCCCAGAAGAATTGTTACAACATGTAGAGCCTTAAACATTTCCCGGACGTCTAGAGTTATTAAGAAAGATACAGCGCAGAGCAGGGGTTGCCTTCTTTCTCTGGCTCGATTATGACAATGACTTGCAGAATGATGGATTTTGTGAAGCTTACAGGGCGAGAAGGGGATGCTGGGATAGATTAACCTTGAGAAGTCATTGCATACTGAAAACCCAGTTATCTGACGGAAAAGCGCCGGCCCCGTGGGAGGTTCAGGCTTAGGTAAGGACAGGAATGGACAGGGGCGCAATATCAAGCGTGTGTTCTGAATGATGTTGGAAGGCTTGCCGTAAGTCGGGTCAAGTGTGTTTCTGATTGAATGCGTTAATAGAAACCACATGTTGAAAGATCGGCAGCATGTACGTCACATGCAAGACAGATCTCCCGAATACAAGCGCACGTTCTTATCAGCACTAAAAATGCAGTAATGATGACAGTTCTGCAGAAATGAAAGCCTGCGTGCTGATGTAATTGGGTCATGCAAAGTTAAAACGGTTCAATTTACTAGTATACGATCAGAAACACTCACTCTTTCACCTTTTTTACACATTCACTTAGGCTGACTGTATATTTGTAATTGGGAATAAACAGACTGTGTGCAACATCAAAGAACACAAGACCTGTCCGTGGCGAGCTGATTAGTTCCCAGCAGAACATTGATTTCCATTGAGGAGGACCTGATGCTGTGACAAACCATACAGTTGATAATGTGTGAACATGCAGCACATTGTAAGACCCCTCCCCCGGCAAATGTTTCAACAACCCACGCAGTTCCCTTAACAAATATGTCCACCAGCCCAACACCATATGCAGTCTGAATGCTGCACGTACTCCCCAGTCTGTTCAGAAGACAGTAGATATTATTAGTTATTATTATTATTATTGCTTAAACTTGTGGTTAGCATTTTTTTTAAGTAAACACGTCCTGCGAGTTTATGCTACGGATCTGAATACTACCTCAAAAAGCGTCAAACCGGGTGTAAAATATTTGATTGTAATTTGTGTAATTCTGTTTAAATGTAATGTATTTTAAATGTCCCAAATTGCAACTTCATCATCGCAAATGTGTAATTACAAATAAATATATAGTTCAGTCATGAAACTCTAGATGGCGCATTCTGACGGGGTGTTAACGTAACTGATGATATTCAGAGAGTTAAACGACTTGGCACAAGCTGATTGGTTCATGTTGCATATGCAGCCAATGAGCTTACTAACTTGCATTTATATGGCTGGTTAGCATTCACTTGAGATTCCTGCAGCGTGCGTTCAGAGTTTCTCTGAAACTCGACAGCTAGATAAGTAAACGGTTTTCACTCTGTTTTATGTGCATTATTGCGTTCGTCAGATGTACATTTTTAAACTAGAAAACATACAAGTTGTAAAACTACGTGCAGGTTATTCGCGACAGGAGTAATTACTAAGCATGTATTGTTCATTTAACAGCAGTAGCATTAGCAGCAGCAGCAAGCACTTTTCCTAGCTCATGTATGTAAGAATACAATGTCAAGCGCCGCGGATTTTAGAACCGTAAAGTGAATTGGGGATTACCTTATTTGCCCGAAATCACCAATGCTTTTAATATCTTCTGTGGGCATTAATTTCTACATTAACCGCGAACGGATCGCTTCAGATGCACGCCTCACTAGCGGGCTTGGTTTGCAGTTGGCGTTTCACAGTTGTTCACAGTTTTAAGTCAAGGTGAACCAGTATAACTGTCTTTCATAAATTTCATACTGTCAGCAGCCTTACCTATTTTAATGAACAACAGAAAATAATATACCCGCTCATACATGTACTCGTGCCGCATTGCAATGCATTTAGTCAGAAGAGGGAGCACTCATTTAAAGAGGCCACACCTCTATTTCACTCGTTACCTTGGTTCAGCGATAGTGAAGAGTTTATTATAAAAGTCATGTTTAGTGATAGTTTAAAGAGAATTAATCATGAATCTGTTTAAAATATAAAGATACTACTAATAATAAATAATTTCCAATCAGTAGCCCATGTACAATGTAGTTAATAGTAGGACACTCTTAAACTGGAATTTACTATTTGTGTATTCAGTTGGGCTTACAGCAATTATAGTACTTTCATGGAGTGTAGCAGCAGTATCATAGAATTCAGATCATTGGTATCAGCATGGCAACAATCAGATGCAATGTTAGAAATATTAGCAGCAGTCTGCATGTTAATCCAATTATCACTGTTGCTAATATATCAGCTGCTGCATAAAGTACATTTAGTTGCATGAAATTTCAGTGATAAGATAACACATGGATGGTAGTGAACTTTTTAGGTGAAATAGGCATTTTGTTACTTTGCTATTCAGTTCAACAGGGTTTATAGAACTCTTCAAAGCGAAATAGGCATTATTTGGTTGTTTGGTTATTTAATAAATATGCAGTAGCAATTCTAAGTACTTTTGTGCAGCAGTATGCATAGTTATTCAGCAATTTTAGCTAATTTTATAGCATGCATAGCAAATTCAGATGCAAGGTTAGAAATAATATTAGCAGCAGCATGCATAGCAAGTCATTATTATGGCTAATATAGCAGCGGCAGTAGAAAGCACTTTAGTTGCATAACATTTTAGTGATAACTCATGGAGGGTAAATTAACTCTTTAAAGTGCATTAGGTATTTATTACTTTGCTTATTCAACAGGGCTTACAGCAGGTTTTCGTGCAGCAGTAGTAGATTATGCCTCGCAAATTCTGATAAAATATTACAACCGCAACAGCTCGCACAATAAATTCCTACTACAACATTGTGAATATCATTAATGTACTTCAACTACGTATTGAAATGTTAGTGAATATTATCAATAGCAGCAGAAGCTGAAGTTTTGTTGCGTTGGCCGTATCGCACTGCATACATTACAGACCGGTTTACCTATCGTTACGGGTCTATTGATTTGGTCATATTGTGCCGCTCGTATCTGGCGTAGACACCATGTTAGAGTAAAATAGGCATTCGCCTAGCTACTCGTATGCCTAATTAAGGGAGCTCTCAGCAGTTCAGTCTCTTGTGCAGTAGCAGCAGCTTGCATAGGCATTCAGTCATCGAGATTTTTTCTCAGCAGCATGCACAGCATTTCTATGTTGCAAATTTTAATTTAGACACAATTAATATAAAAGCAGACAACTGCATTTAAATAAAGTCACTGTAGTGTCTTGCTCAAGGCCATCTTTGAACGAGCCATGCATTTAGCAATGATGTGTTCATACAATGCAAACATTATTGTTCTTAATATGCAATATAAATATTTTAAATTATCAAAATAAATGAGCAGCTGCTTTTGAGGCAGAAATAGTCCTGGCATATGACACCACAACTACAGGGTATACAGTGATTTATTCTTTGCCAAATATTTTGTTAGCTTATTAATAAGTTAAAGGTAAGTATTTACACTGCAGTAACGTTGATGAACGTTAATGGAAAAAAAATGTTTCAACTATTGAATGACAAATTTAAACCTATTTGCTCAGGCCACCCGAGCCTGAGCCAGGTGGTTGCTGGGGGTTACTTCATCTATCAGCCTAGAGTGTGATTCCTGCTTGTTAATTAAACACATAGTGTGCCTTTCTACCTAGGTAAGTTTGAGTTATTGGCTCAGACACACATAGTTATTTAGGTCATTAGTTAAATAAACCTAAGGGTACAGCACCCAGGTTCACATTGTTAAGCCACTAGTTAATTTATCTGGGCTCCTTTAGCCCAGAAACACATTTAACTCAGGTCACTAGTTTAAGCTATCCGGTCAACCGATCAGGTACACACAGCCATAGTTCACTAGCGTTAAAGGGGTCATATGATGCGATTTCAATTTTTCCTTTCTCTTTGGAGTGTTACAAGCTCTTGGTGCATAAAGAAGATCTGTAAAGTTGCAAAGACTAAAGTCTCA